TAATTCTTACTCCGAATCCATTTTATGGATGATTTATGGGTGGATATGTAGATAACATATTTACTGGAATTTATCTACACTGCTTTTTAAACGATGAAGTGGTTTACAGAGTTTATCAGATAAACAATTACCCTTAATCGTCGATTGTACACAGAATTCGATTTGCAAAAGTGTTTTCAGTTCCCAGATATCAGCTTATCATTCATAAAATCTATGAAATCATCGATGAATATTTCCAGTAATGTTTTGCGGAAAATTTGTTCCATCACTAAACATGTCATATACTTCCCTACATCGCGCAGAAGTTTCCTGCGATGAAATACAATTCTAAAATTGTCATGTTATTGTTCAAGTTACGAATCGCAAAATCAAGTTCGAAAGAAAAGATCTGATTTTTCGAAGTGACCTGATTTTTTGGAAAGACCTAATTTCTCAAGATCTGATTTTTCGATACGATCTAATTTTTCGAAAAGACTCGATTTTATGGAAAGACCTAATTATTCGAAAAGATCTAATTTCTCAGGATCTGATTTTTCGAAGAGACCCAATTTGTCAAGAAGATCCGATTTTTCGAAAAGACTCGATTTCATGGAAAGGCCTAATTTCTCAAGAAGATCTGATTTTTCGAAGAGTCCTAATGTTCGAACCTAAATTTTCAAAGATTCGCGATAATGTGTTTCCGAGTCACGGTCAGTCATAGGCTCCTCGTTAATTTAATCGACAGTGTAACGCGCGAAAAATCGTGGGAAGTGAAGGGTTAAGATCGCGGCACACGAGTGTGCGTACGATTCTCGTGGCAAGCGGTGACGGGGCGTTCGTTTTATCAGAACGAGGCGTCGACGGGCATCGACACTCTGTTATCAGGCCACGAGGATTTCGCTTAATCGTTTTTACGTTTTAGGGTCGTCCTATCGTGTCACCTCCCGGTTTTTTATTGTCCTCGCGACTCCTCTGTTTCCCGTGTGTTGGACGACCATCGATAATGACAATGTCATCACAAACCTTTGTTTTTCAACCGTGATATTCGTTTTTGTGCAAATGAACTCTCTGAAAATTGTTTTTTCTCTCTCACGTGTCGTAAAACATATTTGTCGAATATCAATTCCAGAGATAGAGCGATAGACTTTTATTCTTTTTATTTTCAATCTCCGCTCACGAGTGCTTTTAAAAATAATTTCTCACGAATCGTAAAAAAATCGTTTCTGCTTTTGCTGTGTTTCTTGCATTTCTTGATCGAATTTTTTAGAAATAATTATTTTATGCTATAATAAGAGATTTTTTTGGTGGTTGTATAACATGTGATAATAAGTTCAATAGCGATATATTTTATAACAATAATTTCATAATAACTATAAACACACGTAAAAAGGAATAATGATAATCTGATCAACGGTCTCTTATTATATCTCGCAATTAATTCTCACGCGCTCTCTGATATCAATAACAACGAGGTTCTACTGTTTTTACTCCCTGTTACTCTGTATGATCCGCTCGTTTTCCAAATCTCGAGACGATTCAACAAACACACATTCACGCCATCACTCGCAACATATTATTAAACCAATTCCACATTTTTTTTGGATAATTGGAGACGTAAAACTGTTTCTTTTTTCCAAGAAATGTTTGCTTTTCGTGCTTCCTCTTTTCGATAGAATTTTTTATAAATCGTTTTACCATTTCGTAGAGGACTTTGTGGGACAATACGAGAGGTATAGTTATGTTTGTCTAAGATAGACTATTTCTTCCATCGATGTCTGCCACTTTGTCGTATTTCTAGATATTAGCTTATCATTCCCGTTGATATTGCGTTGCTGCTGCGTAACGAATCGGCACGTGGGAAATTGCGGATATACATATGTATACACGGAGTGAACTGATCGTCATACAACGTCGGCTAGTTTAATAAATTGAGAAAAATCGTTTTCATGCTGTTTCATCCAGTGTCCATTCTCGTTCTGCTTAATGTTATCGCAGCATTTAACAACATTCTCTGTAAATGAATATTAATCGCTTTTTCTAATTCAAGAATGGCATAGCTCAATATCGCATAACATTCCAAATTATAGTATAAAAAATAACAAACAAAAAGTATCTGTAATATTTGACGTGTAAACAGTGACGAAGTGAAAAGTTTACCCCTTTGAAGCAATTTTCTCTCGTTTATGCTCGTTCGATAGGTCGACGCGGTATTTAAAATGTGCAAAAATCGCTCTAAATCATGCAACGTTCCAGATTAAAATATAAAAATAATAAAAAAAATATCATCTTTAACCCTTCGACAGTTTGTCCCGTAAGAAACTCGAGCACAGAGTCAAGTAAATAACTGTTTAACTCAGGAGAGACCCTTAGGAAGAAAGTTCGAAAGGGTCGAGAATATTATTATCATAACAACGTCCTAGGGTTCTGTATCCCCTATTTCAAAAACGATCACACGTGGCGCAACTATTAAAGAGACACATACGTGCAAAATCTAAATTTCTTTTACCGTAATTCGCAGTTTTATTAGACTGTCGAAGGGTTAATTTTTTTTTCGTATAAACGGCGACGAAATAAAAAAGTGTTTACGCCGATGCTTGTTTATGCTCGTTCCATAGTTTCACGTGGTATTTAAAATGTGAAAAGTCACGAGGTTTAGAAAATACGCGTGGTTTCCAGGGGCCTCGCGACACTAATCGTCGGAAGCGCTATTCCGCCCACACAGCGATGACATCTTCTTTAACGATACCGTTTCCCGCCGTTTGCTCCTTCGACCTTTCGATATCGACTATCCATCTGTCGTTCGATCGATAATAGCTCGTAGTTTCTGTTTGATCCCTTTTCATTGGGAAACGATTCCATGTGCGTAGGCAAAGTGATTGTTGACGTAATCGGGAAATGATTTTCGATAAACAAGGTTCGTGTGTTTGAAGTGTTTGGAAATGGAAAATAAATGGAAAAGGAATTTCTATTTTAAGGTACACGGTATTCTTGCAAAATATCCTGGAATGTGTGTATTTAGTTGTAGTAGCTTTAGCGATGGTATAGCAATAGAGTAGTTTTTAAATCGAAATGAGAGGTAATTTTTCAAAAATGTACTTAGGATTGAAATTGAAATGATTAAAATCGTAGATATTATAAAATGATTAAAATTAAAATTTGAAACATTAGAACGTAATCTGATCTAATCTGGAATTGACTAGTTTCCATAATTAATAAAGGAAATATATTAAGATTGGCAGACACTTCGATTTTCTTCTCTCTTATACTCGCTATTAATAAACGATTACACGTTCCATGTATTTATCAATCGAATTCTAACATATCGTACGGAAATATGAACGAGTCAGTTACAAGTGTTTTATACCAGTCCTCGTAGGAAATTCATAAACGAAAGGAAAATTTCTATTCTAAAACACACAGCAAAAGAAAAAAAAGAAAGAAAAATTCGTAAGTTGGAAAAATTCAAGACTGTACGTCGAATCTTCGTGTAGTAGAATTGCCAATGACACTGGAACGAATCGACCATTACGACGTTCTTGGATTAGCCTTCGTACAACATTTAATTACTCAATAGTGCCAATCACGAGGAACGGAGCAGCTCGATTATAAACGAGATGACGCAGTTTGTAAGCGGTTTGAACCGTTGGAATGGATAATAAAACAGGCTTTATTTATCCTTCGTTAGAGATCGCAGGTCGCACTTTTAATATCGCGATTCGATTTTGATAATGGAGCGCTGTTTCTCGGTGGCGTTATTCACGTCGCCGCTGGTGGGAATTGAAAACGTTTCAACCGGCTCGAATCGACGATAATTCAGTTTCTCGTCGGCAATAGCATCGCGAACGAGTCTCGGCGACTCGAGTCGTGATTGCGTATCGATCACTTTTCTACCGACAGGCACGAAAGACTCTCTCTGTGTATAATACACTCTGTTCCATCTCGAATTCACATGGGACACGATGCACTCGGGCCTTTTTTGCACATGTTTCCAGCGATTTATCGCTGTCTGTTGTATCGAGGGAAATTTAATGGAAGAAAGGGGAAAAGAACGAGAGGTGGAGTTACCAAGGTACATAATGTTTTGTGATACTTTAGAATTTATTGCTCGTTTAAAAATTATTTCGAGTAGTTTAACGTTATGGATAAATTCAATGCTCGTTTGGGAGCTGTTTTATGAAATTTGAAGCTCTTATGGATTCACGAGTACATTCGATATTTATACGAAAGAAGAATTCAGTGGAAGAAAGAGAAAAGAACGAGCCTTGTAGGTTGAAGTTAACGATGGATACAATGTTTTGTGATATTTAATGTTACGAATGAATTCATTGTTGATTGAACACTTATTTTGCGAAATTCAAAGCTACGGATAGATTCAATACTGATTTAAGTATACAAAGTTCAGAAATTTCGGGCCGTCTGAAATCATGAACATTCTTCTCACAAAATTACAAATCGAAATTACACAAAATTATACAAATCAAGTAAAATTCCAGCATTCGTATACGATATTCGTCGAGCCAAATCTCCATTATTAAGTTGCTCTAAAAAAATTGATACAATTACCAGAAACACCCAATCCTCAATTTCAAAAGTCCAATTAATACAGAAATAAAAGTGCGACTTGCGATACGTGCAACAATCTCCAACAGAAGAAAGAAAACTAAAAATATCAACTCTCTCAGACACTCTGAAAATTCGTGTTCAGTCCTACCTCCCCGAAAAAGAAACGAAAAGTAAAAACTCTCGAGACTAGTGTTCAGATAAATCTGCAAGAATCTCCAATAAAAACAAAAAAAAAAAAGATCAACTCCCTCAATCACTCTCAAGATTCGTGTTCAATCCCACCCAAAAAAAAAAAACAAAGAAAAAAAGACAATAGTAGCTCGGTCCAGGGAGACTAGCGTTCAGATGAATCACTCGACGAATTGCACAGGCAGAATCGAAGTGACGGAAGAAGGGGAAGTTCCGCGGACATTCACACGTGGATGCTGTGGCCCGTGTTGGGGGATGACGGGCTGAGCCCAACGTCGCCCCCGGCGTCGGCAAGCGTCAAGGGGGTGAACAAACTGGCGCCCCTGCTGCTCTGCGCCCCGTGCAAGCCCAGCAGCCACCGGAAGAACCAGAATTCCACGCAGTGGTACGTGCAGCAGGTAAACACACAGACTGGCAACAGATTCATCATTCGTTTTGTTCCCTCGTTCAACCACCTTTTTTTCGTCTCTCCCACTCTCTCTCTCCCTCTCTTTTTTCTCTTGTATTTCTTTTTTTTTTTTGCTCTCTTCAACAATGATTTTCCTCCTTTCGGTTGTTCGTCGATGTTTCTTCCTTTGTGTACTCTTGCCTGATGGATTTCTTTTTCCCTTTCTGTATTTTTCGTTTCGTGGCCTCTTTCAGTTTCTCGTGTTTTATGTCGTAGTTGTTGGAGTAAATCCTGTGGAGTCGCGTTTCGAACTGGAGAGTTCGACACGACGTCGAACGTGACTTTTTGAGTACACACGAGAGTGTTCCTCGGGTTTGTTGGAGAATTGATTTGAAAGTAGCTTCTGAGTGGAACTTTTTCTGTGAAGATTTTGAAAAAATTGGGAGATTCGACGAAGGAAGGAGTGGGGTTGTAGGTTTAGAGCGGAATTTTTGGGAGATTTGCGGATTTTGGGACTGTAGAAGTGGGCTTTTAACGATTTTAACGAAAATTGATTTTCGTTCGTTTTGAAGGCACAACCGGGATTTCAGGTTTAAAGTGGAAATTTTTACCGAGGAATGTTTGCGAGATTCGTGGATTTTGGGACTGTAGAAGTGTGATTTTAACGATTTTAATTCATTTTGAAGACACAACTGGGGTTTCAGATTCAGAGTGGAATTTTTTGCCGTGTAATGTCTGGTAGATTCGTGCATTTTGGGACGTTGTTTGCAAAGGGGGAAAGGAGTAGATATCGTGGAGTCACTTGGTTAAATGTTGGAGTGGAGACCGTTGTGAAATCTCTTAATGATTTTTCCACAAGAATTTAATTTGAATATTTTTCGGAGAAATGATCGTTGTAATTAAACACTTAAGAACACAAAGAGTAGATAACACAGAAAATCTTCGCAGAAGAAATTTTTTCTAAGAAAAAGATGAATAGTACCGTGACACTTGCAATTGCTAGGAAACTTAGAGATAGCGGGTCAATAAAAATCATGTTCTTTCGTTTGATCCGCTTCCGATGATTCGACATAATTGGATGAAACCCCTGGAACACTTACTTGTCGAACCCACGGCTCGAGACCCGATTCTACTCGGTTAGAAAGTGTCGAAACTTCGTTTTCCTTGTTAATGCGATTGTTTCGGTATTGAGTAAGTTAGATTGTGCCGATCATATCTGACAAATTGCGTAAAATTCTGCCGGAACGATTCAGGGATTCGTCAAGCTTACACATTGAATCACAGAATCAAATTTCTAACGAGTGAATTTCAAATTTTCAATTAATATCGTTAACGATAGAATCATTCGCGAGTATTTTATATATTTTCGGCAGAGAAAAAATTCGATAAATATAAACGATAAATCTTTTCGTTCACGATAAATCATCCTATTTTTGGACATAGATTCGATGTTATTCGCAATGTTTGGTTAACTGTACGTAATCTATAATGTGATTGCAAGGAGTTTGCGGTACACGCTGATAAGCTATCAGAACACATTGCTTTCGCACGTAGAATTTGTTTAGCATCTTTCTGCGAGCGGTAAGTGTGTCACTTTCGTTGGTGTGCATGCCTGAACGTTTATTCTAATCGTAGTTACTGTTTACCTCGTGCATGAGAACGAGAGGAGAGCGTCGAGTTTCATCGCTGAATCATCAACATGTGTACCTACATTGCACATAAGCGACACGAGGGAATTTCCAGATTTTTCTGTCACTTTTCTTCACTTCTCATGTGAGACAGAGTTACAAATGAACTTTTAAACAAATTGTTTTTATGACTTTTCTGCAGAATATTGAAATTCCTGAAAATGGCACTGAGATAATGTTCAAAATGAATTGTTAAAAAATGTTTGCATTCTAGCGTATGATTTTTCCGCAGAATATTCAAATTCCTAAATACGGCAGTGGGATGAGGTTGAAAATGAAGTTTTCAGAAATTTTTGCACTCGAACGTACAATTTCTGCGCAGGAATTCAAATTTCTATGTGATAGGGTTCGTCGAGAATAGAGTTAAAAATGATTTTTTTCTCACTTTTGCATTCTAATGTACGATTTTCCGCAGATTATTGAAATTCCTGAAAATGACACCGAGGCGGGGTTAGAAATAAATTTCAGATAATTTCCATATTCGAAGGTATAATTAGTTAAAAGTATTCTAAGAAAATGTTCACATTAGAATTTCCAAAAATGGTGAAGCTAAGTCGTGTTTCCAGTACGAAGCATACTTGGCGGTAAATAAAAGTCGACACTTTCCCAAGTGAGGGTTTATCTAGCAAGAAAAGAACATTTCTCGCTGAACTTTTTCTACTCGCGAATGTTCGTAATTATAAGTAAACGTTCCGCGAATTCGTTCTCCACGTGAAAAGAAATCCGTAAGAGGTCAGAAGTATTGTGCAGGGGAAAAAGAAGATCTGACAAGAAAAATAGCCAAAGAGGCTGGAGAAAGTGTGATCCACAGAAGGCTAGCTTCCAGTGTTGGAATTAACATAAAGACGAAACCATTGTCCTACCTTCTCAAACAAGAGTACAAAAGTTCCTCCGTTTTAATTCGAAATCCAGGACAAAAGGGATCCTCGTGTTCTTCAAACATTCTCAGACTTCTTAGCAAATTTTCCCATTCTTTCAAAAAAATGTTTCGTTACTAAGCTTCTCTTGCGCGATTTTTTTTTCTCCACATATTCATCACGCGTTGCATCTATTTCGAAGTGTAGAACGTTCCGTGCAAATATTTCCTTTTGGATGAATAAAGGATAAATCAGCGAAGGATGAAAGTACAATTAAGCGTCAGAAAAATGACGCGAATCAGAAGAATTGTAAATTCACGAAGGACTGTGACTCACTTTTCGTGAGTTTTGTGCGTGTTCTCTGTATACTTTCCGATCATTGTGCGCACGTGGAAGTGGTTTAATCGGGCAATCAGGGTCAGAGTGTCATCGGAACTGTATCGTTGTCGTTAATGGCCATACGGAGGGAACCGTGTGCAAACAAAAACTGGAATACGGTTACGTTGACCCAGTTGGCGGTGAATAAAGTCCCTTTCATAAAGAAATTGATGCACACTCGTGCAATTCACCGTATAGAAAATAAATCGGTACAAATTGAAAACACACGTCGTCGAAAAATATTGAAAAATGATTTCCTAACATTATCACTGTTTACCATTTTTCTCTGTATCGGAAAAATGTTGAATTTTTACCGGAGGAAAGTGTGTTTCGGACTTTTAACATTTTGCGAGAATTCTGTCACTGAGGGTACTTATGAAAAGTTAGGTTAAATTTGAAGGATCGAATAATTGCTCGTTAAGTGAAAGAAAATAAGGGTGTTCGGCAAAGAAATTCCATTGAAAAGGTAAAAACTGAAATGGACACTTGGAAACGTGACATTTTCCATTCAAGATATGATAATTTCCTTCTGCGTCTTGGTATTGTTTAGTTTTACATCAATTACCTGATTTTCAGCCTACTTAGGCAGCCACTGTGCGTCAATCCACGTGATATTTTTACCACAGGCTTGTCAGAATGCTAAATTATGTCAGGAACAACAAACGTACCGTTTGCATGATTAAAGAGTTTTCGTTTTGCCTCGTACCGGATAAGTTTCGTTTACTTTTCCACGCTTCTATGCTCGAAACTGCGAAATACCGATATCTCTAGTTGACTTCTTTTTTTTTTTTTTTTATCTCCAGTTGACTCATAGATATGTAGTGCAAATCGATGATTAGGGGTACGTGACTTTTAAAAAGATTATGTCACGATCAAACGGTGCTTTTAACGAGGAAAGTTTCTTTTTAAACGTTGCAATTATTTTCGATCGAGCAAATTATTAATTGTTCAATTTAAAATTCTAACGTCTGTCTATTGGCGATATATTTTTATTTCGTTTTAAACGTTGCAACTTTTGCAACGATGGGACAAATTTTTAATCGACGAACTTTTCGTTTTAACCCTTCGACAGTTTATCTCGTGTGAGACTCGGGCAAAGCGTCAAAAGGAAGAAACGTAACTTAGGAAGAAAGTTAAAAAGGAACTAGTTATTATTGTCATAACTATGATCATACCCGACGTAATTATTAAAAAAAAAATACGCGTGAGATATACATTTCTTTTTTACCGTAATTCGTAATTTTATTAGACTGTCAAATGGTTAATTATAATTCAGACGTCTGTCTACTGGAGGTAACTTTCGATGGTTTCACTTTTCAGTCCTTTCTATCTTGCAATTATTATTAGAATTATGGTAATAAATTAAAAGATATTATTTTAATTATGAATCTTCTTTACTTTGATACGCGAGGAAGGCACGTCGCTATGCTATCAATCAAACAAACATCAACAAGACGCAGAGAAAAAAAAAACTTATCAGCGTCACCCATACTAAACAGATGATTACTATGTTATTTCTATATATATTTATATTAATCTGTCTCAGTGTGTTGATTATTTTTGCTGTTACTATTACACAGACACATACTCATTTCTCCTTATAATCCAACAATTATCGTCGATGAGACAAGTTTTTAATTGGTGAATTTCACTTTTTTCGCTCGACAGTGTAACAATTCTCGTAAACAGAAATTCTGGGATTCGTCGGAAAGAAAAATTGTAGGACGTGGTAATAAGTTAAAAGTGCATACAACGTGGAGATATTTTGCAAAGAGATCGAAAGTGTAACGCGTGTCCCGCGAAGACAAAGGAATTCTCCTGGCTCTCGCGGGAATTCTATTAAGCACAAGTTGCTGCCGGTTTCCGGTCAGGCAACGCATAATTACACGGCTCTGTAAGTCGGTACGCAAAGTACGATTCCAGATAAGTAATTAAACGAACTGCTGGCAGGAGCCACGGTGACTCATGTACCGGTAAGTAAGGTGTCAAAGCACCTTCAGCCACTTCACGTTCCCGTTTCACGCTGTGCATGTAACCCAATTTCTAGGATAAGCGAAAAAAATTGCAACGTTTCAAGAAAACGGCGG